GGCATGATGGCTGGACCAGGAAGTGGGCAGAGGGCAGGCATGATGGCTGGACCAGGAAGTGGGCAGAGTGCAGGCATGATGGCTGGACCAGGAAGCTGAGAATTTACATCCTGGCAGACTTGGCAAACCAAGCCGAGGGAGCAAACTAGAAATGGTGAGATTCTTTAACTCCCCAGCCTGCCTCCGGTTACACACTTCTGCAGCACGGCCACACACCTCCTCCAGTTACACACTTCTTCCAGCAAGGCCACACGCCTGCCTCCCCCAACAGCACAACCAATGGCAGACTAAGGCCACTGTTCGTCAAATTCAAACCCACCACAAATAAGAAGAAAAGGAGTCTTTAAGTCTGAAGTTTTTATTTGTGGAAGAGGATTTTGTTTTTTGTTGGCTGCTCATGAGCAGGAATGCCTGATGGGAAATTTTGGAACATTGGTTTGATATTCTGGGCAGGCATTACTAAATGAGTACTGTTTAAATGTATCTTATAGTTTTGTTTTGAGAATAGCTTTATGTAGCCTAACTGGGCTTTAAACTCACTGTGTTTCTGGGATGACCTTGACCTCTTGCCCTCACCTCCTAAGTGCTGAGTTTGGAGGCCCAGCATCCCTCTTATACTGTATTTTTGAAGGGTAGCCCTTTATGATTTGTGTGTGAGTGTGCGTACCACAGTGTGAGGTTAGAGGAACTTGACGAGGTTGGTTCTGTCCACCTTGACGTAGGTTACAGGCATTGAACTCAGGTGATCAGGTTTGCACTGTTGGGTGGCAAGTGCTTTTATCCCCTGAGCCCTCTTGACTGCCTGTTCCCAGACTCTTCATGGAGCAGTTCAGTGTCGTTCTTGAACGCGCAGGCTATGGCATCTATCCTGTTCGGTTCCCTTCTCTCTCTTCCTTACCTGCAATTCAGGGTGGAGTTAGAGCCTGACGCTGGGCCATGCATGCGATTAAATGATAGGAACGATGTACCACCTTATACAGTGTTCATCTTACGTTAGGATGAGTGCTTAGATATAGATGGTTAAGAAGACACGTTACCAAGTGTCAGATATGGCACTGGCGAGTAAACAGGTTGTCCTAGCTGGCCGTGCACCAGCTCCCTGTTGCCAGGCTACCAGCAGCCACCCTTGTTTCTGGCACTGAGAATCTGTCCAGGGAATGAATGAAGAACCCTTTCATTGTGACTTTGATGTGTAGGGCTGTACTCTAGCTCTGGTGTTGATGTCTGACAGTTAAAGACGACATGTTAGTGTGTTTTTATACAGACCTGAAGTTTTCCTAAACTTACGTATTCCGTTTTAATTACAGGCGTCGATTAGCAAGGTAAACGTAACAGAACCATGGCTCAGTTTCCAACACCTTTTGGTGGTAAGTTTTGAAAATTGATTTCTTAATATAAGTTGGGGCCAGATTTTAAGACTTTTCAATGATGGGATATTTCAGATAAATTAATAGAGTTGAATTGACTGGGGTGTAGCTTAGAGGTAGCGTGCTTGCCAACAACGTGCGTGAAGTCCTGTGTTCAGTCTTCATTGCCACAGAAACAAACCAACATGAATAGAGAAAATTACACAGTCAACCCTCATAGTATGCCTTGGGATGCTTCAGTGACTAGGGACTCCATTTTGTTTCAGTGGGTTGTTTTGAAGTAACTCCAAGACATCTTAACCTTTCATCTCTGAAGGTTTTACTGTGTTTATTTACTAAAAACTAAAGTACACTACTATTACCAAACCTCTAAAACTCATACACGTATCCTACCTATAAAATTCACATTATATGCAGTTCAGACTTCAGGCAGTTTTTCATTATTTTTGTTCAAGTTGAAATCCAGATAAGGTGCACGGGTAGCTGACGCCTCCTCCTTGCTCTCAGACCCCGCCCGTCTCAGCATCTTGCTTACATAGTTTCTTTGTTGAACTGAGTGGATCATGTTATGCTCTTTCATAGCCTGGGTTTGAAGCGTGATGTTTTTTGCTTTACTTTATCCATTTGAAACTCATAAGTCTGGGTACAATGTTTTTCTGGCATGTTATTCATGCGTGCCCTGTTTTCTTGTCATGTTGGAGGTTGAACCCGGGACCTGATGTATGTTAGGCAAGCACCTGTCACCGAGTTGCACCTTAGCCTAGAATCTATTAACAAAGCAAGTTTGCGATGCTAAGGTGATCTTGGCAGGGCTGTGGACACAGCACAAGGTGTGATGCCCTCGTTAGGCCCTACTTTCAATCCCTGGTATTGCCAGAAACCAAAAGGAAATGTAAAGCAGATGTCTTGTGTCAGTTGTAAAGAGAATGAGAAGGCGCCATGTGTCACCCCCTGAGCACACCTATGAAAGTCTCTGGGATTCCAATCAGACTTTTCCAGACCTTCAGTAATTTTTTTGTTACATGGATTTTTGTTTTTTGGTGTACCTTTTTAATGAAGTGTATCATTTCATTTGTTTATTTTTGGCTTTCATTTTGTTGGTAAATATGAAGCTCAACAGGACAGTAAAAGTCCTTTTACTTTGTAGGGCCTCTAGTCTGAGGGGAGAGGTGTCTGTGTCAGAGACCCTTCTGAGTCCTGCGACACAGTGTCTGAGTGGAGCCTGCTGTCACTGTCAGAGCCCACCCTGAGCAGAGGAGAGTGTTAGGTAGAGTGTTACAAGCATGATCACATTGTGTAAAACATGGGCGCTGTATGTTCCCAGGTTGGGGGCAGTGGTTGGCTTTTACAGAGTTTTTTCTCCATCATTTAATGACTTTGGTGAATTATTTTTGGAAGACTGGGGACTAAAGATTCATATTTGTCTGAATTGTGCCTCACTGACGTTGCTTCTGAAAATGACTGTTCTGAAAAAGCATATGTTCTGTGTTTGGTCATTAGTTTTATCAGAATAGCCATTTTTAGAAGCAACTTTAGTGAGGCACAATATAAACATCATATGGTTGACTAGTTTTAACTGTGCCGTTTGGTGATCATTAGTACATTTGCAAAGCTGTACAACCATTACCAGATATTTGAATATTTGCAGAGTCACACAAGATACTGCTTGTGTTGGAGTGCTACCGCCACTACCACCACCACCACCACCACCATCACCATCACCACCACCACTACCACCATCACCACCACCACCATCACCACCACCACCATCACCACCACCACCACCACAGTTACCACCATCTCCACCACTACCATCACCACCATGACCATCACCACCACCATCACCACCATCATCACCACCATCATTACATCATCACTACATCATCACTGCCATCACCACCA